GGTTGGGGAGATGGGGACGCAGGGGCAGGATTGATTTCAGTTTACTGAAGGGAAGCTAGAAAGCTGTGTTATAAATAGATGCTGCTGCTTCTTTCGGGCTTTTCAATGCCTGAAAAGCCATTTGACCTTAGTATGGATGTGAATGTATCGGACAATGCCTGTTATTTACTAATGGATGAATGGACAGGCTTATTCTGCAGTAATTTCGTCTTGTCCTTATTTAGGTTGATCTGGTTCCAAACTGAGCTAAAAGATGTTGATAATAGCCCTGACTAGTTGATTTTTGGAATGTCAGAGTTTTTGGAAGCATCCAGTTGCACCAGTATAAATCAATGGATTCCCTTTAAGGTTTTTGGTGGTGTGATCAACAGCAGCATTCAGTCTCCTGTTACTGCCCAGTCCACCACTGCAGCAGTCTGTCCCCTGACGCCCAGTCTATCAAAGTGGGACTCGGTCCTTTTTCTGTCAGGATCGCAAGTTGTGGCTAGAACCTTTGTATGGTACCACTGCGTGTATTTAATAGCTCTAAACACATTTCATTAAGTTGTCTTTAATTTCCACCTCTCTCATTTTTCTTTGCAGGCCATGATAAAATCCTACAATGCCGTTTTGAGTGGGTGAAGTGAAGGGGGGAAAAAGGGGATTAAAAAAATGCCCAAGCAAACAGCAGTGACGATTACTTTGGCGACCCTGCTGGGTGTTGCAGTGGGGGGCCTGGTTTTGTGGAAAGCAACCCAGCGTCGGAAAGCAAAAGCATGCTGTAGTAGTCGGCGAGAGGAAGCAGTTATAAACTCGGGAGATGAGAAACTGATTAAGGCAGAGGATAAGGAGGTGCTTTCCTTCTTCAGATCTCCCACCTTTTCCTGGGTAGAGAGGACCCTTGGTGCAGACATAGTGATAGTTTCAGAGCAGGAGGAGTGGGATCGTGTTGAACCTTTGCTGAAGAAGGAGCTGGAGAAGTGGCCAGTGCTTGGAATTGATTGTGAGTGGGTGAGTGATCAAGAAGTGCCTCTCCTTTAGATTGCAAATTGTAACAGGAAATCATTGAGGGTGGAGTGATTCCTTTGCTTAAATGGATACAACAGGACTGACTCTTGAAACTGCCTGTGTGATTATCTGTCATGACAGCAGTGAAGCAGCTGCTGATTTTGATTATTCTCACGTTTAAGTGTGCTGACTGTAAGTTTTTAATTCGCTAGTTGTATTCGTTTACTGAACTCCTGTGATAAATCGTCTATACTAAACATAGTGATAATCATGTGGCTAAATATAGCATTATGTGCTTTGTATAATATCGCTTTAAACGTGATTTACTAGAAGTAGCTTGGGTTCGCACTATTTTAAATCCAGCTACATACTTAAGAAACAATTTCGTGAGAATAATAAATCCAAAAAGGAGGATAATACTGATATCTAGCTATAACTCACTGAGACTACCAGAAAGCAAAGTTCCTCTTCTGCTTGGACATTTGCCTGTGTGAACTCTCAAAACAGGCATTGAGTCATTTATAAAGCCTGGCTTTGCCATTATTTTGGCTGGAAATTTATTCACCCCACAGTCATTAGTATAAGCCACAGTTAAACAATGTGTTTGCCATAAACATTGATGTGGGTGGCTTTGTGCTGATGTGGATTAAGAAATGTGTCTGATTTCTTCCATCAGCTCAGCTATGAGGGGGAAGGGTGAAAGGGGAAAAGTTTCTCTTGTAGGAGTGTGGCAAGAAGTAACTTCGGGACCATAATACTGTGAAACAGATCACGTAATTTGCAGTAAATTTCAGAGACGTGTAACAATGCTTGACTGTATAAACTGACAGGTATTTCCTGTCTTCAGTGGCCTCTTTTGCAATTTGTTCCAGCTCCAGTATTGCTAATGATACCGTAACCCAGACTCTGATTTTTGTCTTTATTTCAGGTATCTGTGGAGGGAAAAGCAAATCCTGTATCCCTCCTACAGATGGCTTCTTCCAGTGGCCTCTGTGTTCTTGTTCGGTTGCCCAGGCTTGTTGCCAGTGGACAGACTATCCCAAAGACCCTGTTGGACATGATGGCAGATAGTGCTGTGTTGAAAGTTGGGGTAGGATGCTGGGAAGACGCTTGCAAGTTACTTCATGATTATGGTCTTCCAGTCAAAGGGAGCGTGGATCTCCGGTATTTAGCCATGAGACAGCGGTAAGTGTCTGAAGACAGAGGCAGCTCTGTTTGAGGCATCATCATCTGTTTGAGTTGGAAATATTTTAAGAGTAATTTGCATGTGCTGAATGATACCAGGCAGGTAGGTCTGGAGTGCTCAGGGTGGTTTTAGAGCATGGGCATAGACAGCTGCAGCCCAAGAACACGTCATGCTTCTGTTCTATGGTCTTAACAGAAATGAAATCTTCATGAAGATTTCATATGCTAATTTTGTCTGTTAGTCTTCTCATGCAATACCCATGTGGACTTTTCTGAGTATCATGCTTTAGCTTGCAAGAAGTCCAGGCACAGTGATGTAACGTGGTGAGAACGATCACCATGTCAACGGGTATTTGCATACACTGTCTAGAAGTATGGGGTAAACGTGCCAGGGGCACGTAAGTGGAACTGTTGAATTACAGGATTTCTTGAAAAATGACTAAAATACACCATCTCTAATTTTCTCTTCTAACAACAATGCTTCCACTAAAAGGTTACAATTATGATGCCATTTTCTCATCCTTCATTCTTCCTAAAATAAAATGTTTTACTTGGGAATATTTGTCATATACAGTATATGTATGCCTGGGTGTCATTAGTGATCTGGGGCATGGATTTGCTGACCTGATGGTGCCTTTTTATCAATGAGGATGGACTAATTGTCTCTAGTGGCCAGGATTCCTCTGAGTCATTCCTGGCTCTCATGCTCCTCATGAACCCCTGTGGCAGGTGGTCCATCACTCTGTGATAGACCTCGTTAGTTCAGAAGTGGGTAGTTCAGAGCCAAACCGAAGCCTTAAATGTTACCAACTCCCAGCCTTGCCTGTTTTGCATATTGCAGGCACTAAATAATTACTAAATCTAGAAAGGACATTTTAGCGGAGCGGGCGGGAGAGGGCCTGTAAAGCTGACAGGCAGCTGTGTGCTGTTTGAGTGGGAGTCATGCGTCACGTGCATTGTGTTCCGGCAGGTTCAGGGTGTGTGAGGCCATCCATATTTGCATGGGTGTATAGTTTCATTTTTAATATGTTTGTTTCACTTTCTTTGTTAAACTGAAGGAAGGATCTACTTCACAACTGCCTTAGCCTTAAGTCTTTAGCTGAAAAAGTCCTGAGCTGCCCGCTTGACAAATCTCCTCGTGTGCGTTGCAGCAACTGGGAGGCAGAAGAACTGACACAAGATCAGGTGTGTCTTCCACTTCAACTTAGTGTTTTGGGAGGAAAAGCAACCTTCTTAGTAGAGAAGAGATATTACAATAGGGACATCTGAGTTTTGTCTCAAAACCTTGTGTATGACTGTGGTCTGAAGTTATTTTCAGACTGTGTCCGCGTTTTGCTCCTTTTCCATGAAGATAATTTTCTGTTACTCTCCCTGGATTCTTGACCCTTGTTTTCCTTTAATCCTGAAAGGTCTGTAAGGCAAGGTCCCTTGAAGAAGTGTTTGTGCACCCAAAACCTCACTTTTTTATTATTTTCTTTTCTCCAGTCTATAGCAGTCAGTGCAATGTAAGAGAGACACCCTGGAAACCTTGTTAACCATCTTTAGACCATTATGATTTCCCTGATAGCTCACTTTCTTTACAGTCATGCTGCAAATGTCTACAAAATCACTGACCGGTAGAGGGAGTGACAGGATAAATAACCACACTGAATATTTGTAGGCAGTGTATCAAAAGGGAGGTTTTTTTCGTTAGGGAGGGCTTGGTGGGGCAGGAGGGTGTTTGAGACCTGGCTGACCTGAATTTCTTTCAGCCCCTTGCAGTTCCTGGGGGCACGCACGAGTATTTCAAGTCTGACTGATCCTAAAAATGTGGGGTGTGGTGATGTTATGAAAATGTCACTCAAATGCCAGAACTTTGCGTGAACTTCAAAAGGAAATAAATCCAGCTTCTGGCTTTACTGTACCAAGTGTTAAAGACTGATAATGTTTGGGAGCGTTTGCTGTTTGTCAGTATCTCGATGTCGATGCTTTTCTGCAGGTTCTCTATGCTGCTAGGGATGCCCAGGTCTCAGTGGCTCTGTTCCTCCATTTGCTGGGATTTACCAGCCTCCCTGCTACATCTCAAGGTGAAAACTCCGTCGCTGCGTGGGAAAAAGCACTGGGTAAATGCCGGGGCTTGGTGGATATCCCATTTAGAGGAAGAAGGAGTGGCAGCACAGGAGAGGAGAAGAGTGGAGAGGGACGCTCCCCTCAGAAAACAAAGAATCGGAAATCTTCGGTGAATGGCCAGCCCTCTGGCAGTCAGCAAGTGAGAGATCCTCGGAGGCAGAAGCGAAAGCCCCTGGGTGTAGGATATTCTGCAAGGTAAGCCTATGAGCACGTTTTAATCCTTGCGCTGCAGATGGAAAATTTTGAATGATGCCTCATGCTCTACTCATTAAACAAAGTGGTTAATACAAGCTAGGAAAGGAAACACAGGACCTAATAGTCATGGGAGCCAGATCCTGTTTCTGTTTTCCCCATTTTCCTCTGGTGGTATTGAAAGTGGGAGCAGCACTTGGGTCTGTACTAGGTCGTGAGCAGGTTGAGGGGTTGTCTTCAGCTTTTGCCTTCCCTTCTCCTATGGAGGCATTAGCTGGAGAGCAGAGTCCCCGCAGGAGGCGGTTGGCTGTCTGGGTGGCATTTACTGCCCAAACAGCTGTGTCCTGTCTCCTCCAGGGAAAAGGTGGCAACTGCATAGAGCTTGTCCTGTGAGCAGGATCTGCTGTTTGTACTGTGCTACCCCAGGTCATTGTGGCCACAGAGATGTCAGGGTACTGAGCAGAGCTGAAAGCTAGGGCTAGGAGGGGTGAGAGAGGTTATGTGAGGTGCCCGAGGGCACAGGAAGGAACAGTTTGTGAAAGCACTGCGCTTCTGTGTTGGCCAGGGCGAGAGAGGAGGGAACGGTACTACTTTGGCCTTGCAGGGGCAGCTGGTGCTGGATTCAGGATCCCCGTCCCGTAGGTGATTTTTGTGGACCAAATCCTAAATTCTTATGGCCTTTTGCTAATGAAAGTTCGGTTGTTTTTAAATTAAAACAAGTTGGAGAAGTCTCTTTAAGCTCAGTGCAGTGGAAGATGTGGAGAGCTGGTATGTTTGGTTTTGTTCGGATACAATCTAGTAAAATTTATCACATGGATGTAGGAACTAAAATTGTCTGTGATTACCATTTGGAAAGAAAACCAGTCGTTTTAGTATTTCTTTTCTCCTTTTCAAGTTTATTGGATTGGCAATGAAGACATTTTAATGCGGTCGATAATATTGATTTAATTAGCAGTCATTAATGGTATTGTGTTGTACACAGCAAGTCCCTTCAGATTTTTTTTTTTTTTTCAATTGGAGCCTGTGTCATACAAAACAGAAGGACTGCACCTCATGGGAGGATTAAAATTTAAACAAAATTGCATTCCAAGCTAAATTGAGATCACCCCATATTTGTTTATTTATTGTTTTTAACTGCGCTTGACTTAATGAGAGATCTGTAGACTCACTGTTTTTTACAGTATCTCCAGCAGTCTATCTCTGGTTTGTAATAAGACTGGATATGATTTCAAAAGTCCTTTTCCACTCTTCCTTTCTTTAAGCGTGTTTAGTTTTAATGTTTATTCATTTAGAGTTGGGAAGTACTCAGATTATCATGGTGATTGAGCTGAACTGCTGATGCTCAGTGGAAGGAGACCTCCTTTATCATTATTGTTTATCATTATTGTTTTGTTTTGTTTGGACCTCAGAAGAAATCCTTTTGTCAGATTACATAGCCTGTGAATCAACCTTTTTAGCTGGTAGAGCTCTGCTGAGTATTTATTTATATGATCTTGCTGAAAAGAAAGGAAACTTTTCCACAGCGTATTGTCATGTCTGTCTCCCTGGCTGGTTCCTCCCAGGTGCTCCCCAGGCCCAGCCTGCTCTGCTCTTCAGTTTTGTTTGAAGGAGGTTGGCCGAGTAAGGAAATGTTTTCTGCAAAACAGAGCCCTTCCACATACTGCCACAAACCACCAGAGACTGCTCAAGCAGGACTTTTTGCACTGACTAAGGTTAGGTGCTTGTGTTTCAGAGGGCCTCAGCTCAGCTTCATTGTTCCCATGGACTCATGTGTTTGGGTTCCCAGTGCTCCAAGAGCTTTTTTGTAGTGTTTCTCTTGGATGAATGAAGTAATTGCTGTTCACACTAAGTTTTAGAAAAGTCGTCTTAATAAAACACTAAAATACAGGCTTAGGCAGCTGATCCTTGAAATTGCCTTGCCTGTAAGTTGACACTCTCTTTTAGCTTACTCTTAGCTCATCATCCTTCTTGACTTCGATTCTCTTTTGTTTTCTAATGTAATTTTTTTTTTTTTTGAAAATGCTGTCATCTTTGATGGCATCTCTTGAAAACTGGGATTCAGAGTTACAATTCTATTGGCAGCAGGAGAGCAAAGATACCTTACAGTCAGTTGGTGAACTCCAGGTGAGTTTTTAGATGTTCTGCTTCCCTTAGCAGCAGCCTGTGCTGTGCTCAGCAGCCTTAAGTGTGTGTGATTTGGAGGAGGCTGCATGAATTGCAGTGTGGAACGCATGGCTATAGAGAGCTCTGGGTTTTTGGCATGCTATTATAGTTGCTGTAATGCTGTCCTTGTTTCACAGAAAATCTCCACTGTACGACAACTGCTTCCTGCATGCACCGGATGGACAGCCCCTGTGCACTTGTGATCGCAAGAAGGCTCAGTGGTATCTGGACAAGGGGATTGGAGGTGAGCACACCAATTTTCCTGTTGGTATTTGAAATACAGCGCTTTTTTGTTTTTTTTGCCTTGTTTCTTAGATAACTAATTTTTTGTATCCTTTCTTATTGGAAATACTGTTGGGGATTCACTAGGATGACTCCTATGTTTTAGCATTGTTATTTTAGCTTTCAAATACAAATTTGTCATAAATATTCTCTATTTGCCTTTACCCTTTCAGAGCTAGTTAGCACAGATCCGTTTGTTGTGAAGCTGCGGTTTGAGCCTTCAGGACGTCCCGAGTCTCAGGTTGATTATTATCTGACAGTCAAAGAGAACCTGTGTGTTGTATGTGGCAAGCGAGAGTCCTATATCCGGTGAGTTTAGTGGTATAGGAGAAAAATGCGTCTTTTAAAACAGGACTGAGGTCTGCATCTAGTTTGGCATCTAGAACCTTGGTTAGTGGCCTGAAACATCATGCTTGTTCACATCCTGGATGGGCTATCACTATTTGAATGCTTTGTAGTCGTATGTGTCTGGGTAAGTTTGACACTGAACAGGCCAACCTTCTACCGGTCATTGGAGAGAACAAAGCATGTGGAACGTGTATGTGCTGCAGTTTGAGTGACAGGGGGCAGCAGTATGCTAACACACACTGTTCTGATGGCATCCCCTTCTGAAAATAGCTGCACTATTCCTTCCACTACTTAATCCTTATATTTTTGAAAGGTTTAGGTGAGCCTGAAGCCCATAAGGTCACAGAGGGTGAGATTTTTGTCTTTGCAGCTGCTGCTGTTTGGCTAAGAGGTGTGCTTCTCATAGGGCATTGCTTTTGCAGCTTTTTTTTTTTTTTTACAGTATGAATCCCTTTTTTTTTAATTGAAAGCAATGATTTTTTGGAAGGGAGGAAAAAACCAGAAATGGAGAAAACCTGTGGAGAGAAGTACAAATGAAAAGAAGTTGCAGAACCTATTGCTGCACTGAGGGTCCTGACCCTGGTGATCTTTGTTTTTCTGGACTTTTAGTATTAGTTGAGCCTTTGTGGGCCAGGAAGAGGAGGAACTGGGGAGCAGCAGCTCCAGGCAAATGTCATGAGCTGGCTCATTTGTCTTCCCTAGGAAGAACATTGTTCCTCACGAATACCGAAGACATTTCCCCATCCAGATGAAGGACCACAACTCCCATGACGTGCTCCTACTCTGCACGTCCTGCCATGCCATCTCCAATTACTATGACAACCACCTCAAGCAGCAGCTGGCTGAGGAGTTTGGTGCCCCCATCGGCTCTGAGGAAGGCGTGCGTCTGCTGGAGGACCCCCTGCGCAGGCAAGTGCGCTCGGGGGCCCGAGCCCTGCTGAATGCAGACAGTCTGCCTGACCCCCGAAGGGCAGAACTTCTGCAAAGCATCAAGGACTTCTTTAACACAGAGGCAGTCACCCCAGAGATGCTCCAGGAAGCAGCTGGTCTGGAAACCAGGTATGTAAACCCATCAGTAGATGTAACATTTTAATCATTTATGTTAACACGTAAGTTTAACAAAAAGTTGTCTACACACAGAGCCTTGGGTAAATATTACTGCAGCAAAATAAAAGAAAATCCACCAGGATTTGCAGAGCTGAGGATCACACATGCTGACTTCCCCCCCCCCAGCTTTTTAATGAAAATAAGACAAAACCCATTGCTGGTCTCCTTGGGATATTGATGTATCTGGCCTAAAATAATGGTGTCAAGGAGTGTCTGGATTTGAGACTACTAGGAGCTGATCTGCACAGGCAAAAGGAGCTTCTAAAAGCGTAACTTTATCATTTGTATAAGCCTGCAGAGTCTGGATTTATAGTACTTTGATATATTTAACTAGAAAGCAAGGATAAGAAGATGATAACGGCCTGTGCTGTAGCCTAAGGCCCTAAGCAGACAAGCACACTCTGCATTTCTTAACTGTGTTTTTGTTTACTCCTTTCTCCCCTCAACCCAGCAGTGGTCTGTGAACTGCAGCTCTTGTTTCTTCCCTCTTCCCTTTCTCTTCCATCAATCTCGTTCCATTCTTGCTCTCTATATTCCCCTCCACTACTTTATACTTCTTTTGAAGGACAGATCAGGGAGGGAGACTGAAAGACACTCATATCAGAAGTCTCCTCTCTTCCTCTTTCTCAAAGCCTCCCAAATATCTTTTCTTAACTAGTATCTGGTCTCTGTCTGCATGAAGTCAGTATTTTCTTCTTGTTACGCTCACTGTTTTTGTAATGTGCCAATGTTGCAACTCGGAACCTATCCAGGCAGGGAATTCAGTGGCGGGATCAGAGCTCTGGAGTGTCATATGGTTTTTGCCTTGAGAAATTTGCAGTCTGTCTCCTGAGGAGCTTGTAACGGACCTTGAGAGCTTTGTTTAGTATTGCTATAAAAGAACAACACTTTCTCAGTTCAAAGAAGCCAGCTTCCCAGTGTAACTGTGTTCCAGAAAGCAGTCTGGCATTGAAGCAAAGCTTAAAACTCTCCCTCCTGCTTAGCGTACCATGTGTCTGTAATTAAACTCCACAGCTGAAAGTATCGTCAGTGTCTTGCTGTTCATTGTAGACAGGTCTAGAGTCTTACAGTGGGTTTGTGTGAACATAAACTCTGCTTGTGTCCTGGCAGGATCTGCAATGAGAGCTACATGCCACATGGACTGAAGGTGGTGCAGTGTTTCGCTAAAGGAGGCCTGCGCTCCCTTATGCAGTTGGAGAGACGCTGGCGGCAGCATTTCTTGGACAGCATGCAGCCCAAGCACCTCCCAGAGCAATGGTCAGTGGACCATAACCACATGAAGCTGATCCGAAAGTATGGGGAGGATCTTCAGATCGAGCTGTCGTGAGACTAACTTCCTAGATAGTGTCTAATGGACATATGTAACTGAAGGTGGAAGGGCTGTTTTTATTTCAGTGTCTCCACTAACATCTGGACCTGGGGTTGCAAACAGGCAGCAGTGGATCTGCCAGATTTGCCATTTTATAGAGTTAAATCCGTTGACTTGAATTTTCAGGTGGTTTGGAATTTTTGATCCTAGTCTGTCACTGACTAGTTCAGTGTGAGAGTGATATGCTAAGGCAACTTGTCTTCTCAAAGTGACTATGGAGAGTTATTTTCTACCCCCTAGGATGGCTGATGCCTCCAGACCATCTCTTTTAACACAAAGCACAATATATGAACGTTTCCAGGTTTTCCAACAGATACATCTGCGCCCTTAGCTGCACCTTGAGAGTCTCCTGATAAAAGTCTTTGCTTTCAGTGCAGTTGTACTCATATGAGTTCTTCTCAGAGAAGACTCCCTGCCAGAGAGAGATTCCTTGTTTGGAAGTGGCAAAGAAACCTTACCTTTTTTTGCAGATTCTGAGCTGTATCAGCATTGCATATAGGCCTCAGTGAGTTTCCTGGTGGCAGGTGCCTGATGAGAAGCAACACACTGACTCTGGCAGTATGGAAGCATCCATGTCAAGTCTTTTCTTAAACAGCTTCCAGCAACACACGGTCTATAAAAAATGTTATTTCCTACTTCCACTTGTTTATCATGAATAGCTCTTCGTGGGTACCTTTTCATATCAGACTGAAATGGGGTCAGATGTCTGGGATGAGAGGAAACAAATTTTATCTAAAGACCAGCATCCTTTAAGAGGTCAGACCACATGTGGCAGAAAACTGGAAAATCTGGTGTTCTGTTCCTGGATTTGACGTGTGTGGTGGTGAGCAGGTCATACTCTCTCCATGCCTGTTTCCCTGTCTCTAAAATGGGACTAATAATATTTAACCTATCTCACAAGGGTGTTGTGAGGCTTAATTAATTCATGTTTTTGTAAAATGCTTTGAAAATATAAGTTAGTGTGTGCTAGTTATTACTGTTTTTTAAAATGTGCTGCTGTCTGACTTTCTTAAAGCTTTTTGCCTGGTGCTAGACCTTAGTTAAATATAACCTTTTAAAAATACATACCCCTTTCTGTGAAATTGCTTTTGATGATTTTGATTGCGTGAGATTGCGTGCTTCTCCTGAATGATGAAGCTATGCTCAACTTTTATAGGTCTCTGTACAGAAGATTCAGTAAAACCCTGAAGTCATACGTCACACTACTGTGTGAACTGTATAGCACAGTTGACCCATATTTTATTATAACATTTGGGCAGAATCGTGGACCTACTGTGATCGTGGCTGAAACTCTCCCTTATTAGATAGTTCACGAAATTTCACAGGCCAGGGGTGGAAAAACCTGTTTGTAGCAGAGACTGTTTGAGATAAGTAGGAGCCATGGAGAAATGGTACATTAATGCCATCCCAGAGGAGCTGCAGTAGCAGCCCGAGCACAAGGAATCAAAGATTCATGATAAATACTACTTATCACAGAGCTGCAAATGAGACCATTTTCATTATAAGGGCAATTTTATTCCTTTTCTGTACCACTGACAGGTCTTAACAAAAACTGATCTAGCAAAATGTGTTCTGCCTCTGTGCTCATTCACACAACTGATTGTAATCTCAGCAAGAACCTCCTGTCTACAGCAGCAGCTTGGATATAACTGTTTTTTTCCAAAGCATTTTGAGCATGTGTTCAGATAGTGCTATCTCCTATCTTTAGTGTCATCTGATCAGGGTGGCTCTTTGCATGGCTCAGAAACTCCTTTTCAACAATCAGGAGTACAAGGTGTCCATCTCACTTCTTCATTCTGCTTTGGTTTTCTCCCTTTGTTCTGATGCAGGAACTCCTGATAAAGCTGTCCTTGTTTAATGGAACTGATGGGCTGACCACAGGGCCACTGTCTTTTCTGTTTATTGAGACAAGAAAATGACGTTGAGACAAGAATTGGACTACAGGTCCTCTTAATTTAAGGAGTCAGTGGTATCATTGAAGAGTTTTGTGGGGTTTTTTTTCCCAAATCACTTGTTCAGAAATAGAAATTCTCAAGGAAAACTTCTTTCATAAATATTTTCTTAACTAAGATTCTTTGTTGTTTGTAAGATATCCTTAACTTGCATCATTTTAAGTCAACCTGAAGGAGGAGGGGAAGCGGTATATTTATTGTGCAGAAATAGATTATTTTTATATGATTATGATTTTAAATTTTCTGCCAGTCTATAGGTAAAACTTTTATGTATGCCTTCATCACTAACTGTTACATTCAGTAAAAATTTGCTCTTTTATCAGACTTACCACTATTGAAGCTCTTTTTTCCTTTTTCACATGCCTGCTTTTTCTCTTCTTTCCCTGTGTCTTACCCTGTCCTTGTGAGTCCATCATTCCTTACAGTAACACCTGGACTTCACCCTCTGAGTTTTCCTTTCCAGTGCCTTCCTTGATCTGTCTGTCAGAGATCAGCTGTGGAAGAGCCCGTGCTGGCAGCAATACTGTACTTCCAAGCAATGCGATAGCAAGTTTGCTCATGTATACTTGAATTGTTGTTCTGAGGCTCTCGGTGGATTCAGGTGCTGTCTTTGGCCTGGTCGTGTTGGTCGGTCATGATGGCTACAGATCTACCTTTTTTTAAATAAAAACTTAGATTTTGCTCAACCGGAGCATTCATCTAGGTTGCCCCAAGTATCTTACCTATACTAGGACCCTCCTGCACTAAACCATGCACATCCATTTTGTCTGTGGAGGGAGAGAATTGCCATGCCTCTCTGTGTGGGCTGGCTTTCACAACATGGGATTTTTCTTTCCGTCGCTTGTCACTTTATGTTTGTAAGTTTGCCCAAGGCACGCTGCCAGAGATGGGGGAGAGAAATTTTCCTTTTACCTGGCACTTGATGCCACCTGCCTCAAACTGGTTCTTGCAGGTTAGTGGGGAGCACACTCCAGCTGCTGAGGTCCCCAAACATGTCTTGGTTTATGAATGCCCTGCAGAACTTGCCTCCATCCTTTTTGTTTCAGGTGTTTTGCCCATGTGAAATGGATGTGCTTTTCTAAGAATACGACTGGGTACATGCTTCCAGAGGCGCTCCTCTGGAGCGGGAGTACCAACAGCCCCTGTGGTAGGTTAGCTTGCCTTCCCCCATGGGCTACAAACTGATTTCTGTTTTCCCAAACCCTACAGTTTGCCTTTTTCTTGGCTTTGCAGTAACTTGGACGTCTATTGTTGCAAGGTGCAGGAATTACCAGCCCAGCAGCATTTTTGATAATCTGGCAGTTGGAGATACAGTAAGTACTGCATTTCTGAGCAGACCATACATGACATGTTAATTATGCTGCTGACAGACTTGGCATTGGAAGTGCCTTGGTTTCCCTCCTTTGACAGTCTTTAAATGTCCCAGCTGTCACATTCATGACTGACAGGACTGAAAACAACATACCCCCGTGGGCTTCTTGCATTTTCTGTTTGGTATTCACTAACGGTAGGGATGGGAAGCTATCTTCCTGTTGCATTCCTATTGCTCTGGCTCCCTAGGGAGTATCTGAACTCCGCACTATCGGTGACATGGTTTTGGTGGGCTTTTTTCCGTGAAGGCAATGCGGTTAGCCTTGAGAAGTGCCTCATTGCCCTGGCCCTGTGCCTAAATGCCTTTGAGGAACTGGGCCTTTTGCACATGCAGAGGGAGCCTCTGTAATAAGGACTCACCAGGAGCCCTCGCCAGTGTGCAGTGTTCTGTACTGATTTAGAGGCATCTCCAGTCTGAACCAGTAGGTCAGTTCCCATCGCTGCTCCTCGATCTCCTTCCTTCATGCCTCCACAGTACTCCAGACTTATGCTGCCTTCTTCATTCCCACAGTCTGACACAAACTGTCATCCCCTGGATGTTCTTTGGGAATAAGGGCCATTTTAAAGCCCTTTCTCTCATTTCTACGAAGTGCTGTGTTATTGGCGTAAGGGCTTTTCCCACCTTCAGGAGTACATTTCCCTTTCGGGAGAAAGGGAGAGGCAGTTTGAGGCAAATGTAAAGAAGACATACTCAGCTTTCTCTGTGAGTTATTAAGGGAGCCATGGTGTGCCCTCTTGTATTAGCCCCGCATCAAGGGAGTTTTGTTAAATGCTTTTACAGGTAGAGAGGGTAATGCAAGACAGGCAAGATGGTTAAGCTTAGTAAGGGGAAAAAACCCCAAAAAGCCAAATAAACATGCATGGAACATAATTTCCCGTATTCAAAACAGATTCCTCTATCACTGTGAATTCCATCATGAACAGCAGACAGCTGTGTCAAGGATTTTCTGCACCAAGGTTAGTGCTGCATCCTCTCTTCCCACTTAACTATCATGGTGCTTGTTTCTGTCTTGAATTAGCCAGTGTGATGCTACCTGGGGTCTCAGTGGTGTTGGTTGCCAGGGCACAGAGCAAAACCATCTTTCTTTTATTATTTTTCTTTGCAAGCTATTGGATAAGTTCAGTTTCTGAGACGGGGGGAGTAAAGAGAACTGAAAAAAAAGAGGATGGAAGCTTTTATTGTAAAACAGAGATGTCATCTTCAGATAACAAGAAACCATTTCCTTGTACAGGAAAAACTCCAGCTTCAGCCATAGATGATATAAAATATGGCTTCTATCTTTCTTTGCTTAAAAATTGAAAGATTGTGCAATGGTTAAGGAGCAAAAAAGAGAAGACATTTATATATCTCAGCACAAATGTGACAAGTCTGGGAAAAAGGTACTAGGCAGCTGTCAGAAATGCAGGCTTAAGAGAAAAACTGCCTGTCCAAACTCCCTCCACAAAAAACTGCTGCTCTAAGAAGCTCTTTCTCATTGTGATGTGCTCTGTGGGGATCTGACATGTGTCTGTTTCACATTGATTAACAGCAAGTCCTTTCCAATTGATTGTCCTTTGAAAAATGCCAAACAGTACTTTGCATCAGCTGAGATCTGCCAATTGCTCTCCCCTTTTTCCTCTGGGCCCTGACTCTGTCCAGGACTTTTAGCCATAAATAAAAGCACAGAGACTGACTGCTGGTGGCAAGTTGAGAAAATCAGAGTGGGACCTCCTTTCAAAGCACTGTGAATAAAAAATTGTTATCCCTACTTGTCTAGCAAGTCCAAATCTGAGCTATAAGTATGTGTATATAGTTTTATGTCAGATTTTTGCTATTCAGATAATGTTTTCCATATGTTTTAATAGCATTACACCCTCTTCTTTCCCCCTCTGCTTCTCCTGTGATACATGGGTAGCAATACTAGATGTTGTTCAGCTGCACATCTCAAAGTGCTGAGCTGATGTCTGAAAGACCAACTCCATTTTACAGATATTTTCCCCACACTAGAAAAAGGGTCAGTCCAAGCTGTAAGATTAGAACTTGAGAAATCCTTAGAGCGCCCGGGAAAATATCAGACTAGACTGCCTGTCTTTTGACAAATCGGCTATGGGGGAGAAAACTGCCTTCAAGTGCATGTTCTGTGCACGATAGCCGTAGGTTTCAACCACTAGATCGTGCCAAGTATTAGACCCTCAGGAATACCCAAGTATCTTTTTTTTTCTCTGCCTTGTAAATAGGCGTTAGGAGTCTTAATGCTGCTGGGCTCTGGCCCCATTAGCTCCATGCCCCCTGCTCCACTGCTTTCAAGGTTTCCAGCGTGTGGTGAAATATTGGAGGGTGCTCTTGCTACCAGCAGTGTGGAAGCCCTTTTGGACAAAGAAACCAAGAGGTGGGGTAAGTACAGGTAGATAGATGTAGGAGCTAAAAAAGTGGGTTATCTTTATTTCACTTAATTGGAATAATCACCAGTTAAAACCAGAAAGACTTCCTGCTAGGCATCGTTCTTCAGTTGGATATGTTTCACCAGCAGCTGTGGCTAGTCCGTGGGTTCACAGCAAAAGCTTATTTCTCATGATGGGCTGCAGTAGGGGACAAGGAAGAGAAATTGCCATAGCTAGCAGGTTTGCACTCAGGTAATAAGCCCAACTGTCTCAGCCTGCCTTGCCCTAACCTTGGAGGGAAAGGAGCTGAGGGAAGCCTGGATGGGTCCTTGTCCTGCTCACTGCCTCTTTTGCTCAGGACCTGCGACTCTGGAAGGTGAGTCCTGTGCTCC